TACCAATGTTTCTAATGTGTGATGTGCCAATGCTTCTAATGTGTGATGTGCCAATGCTTCTAATGTGTGATGTACCAATGTTTCTAATGTGTGATGTACCAATGTTTCTAATGTGTGATGTAACACTGTTTCTAATGTGTGATGTAACACTGTTTCTAATGTCATTAGAAACAGTTGGTACATCACACATTAGAAACAGTGTTACATACATTGGTACATCACACCACACATTAGAAACATTGGTACATCACACACATTAGAATGATGTACCAATGCTTCTAATGTGTGGTGTAACTTCTAGTATTTGTCCAGGAAACTTGGAGTTCCTAAAAGTTTTTCTTTATAAATGGAAAATAGCCCGTGATGCCTTATAGTCTTCTGAACAAATCATTGACAAATATAGCTGTTTATAATTTGTTGTCTGTAAGTTTTAAAGTAGTTTGTTCCAGAACAACAAACACCCAATTACAATTAAAACGTATTTGAGCCAAGTCATTTATTTGTTTTTGTGGTGAGTACACATACCGTAGTATATAGAGCGTGAACAATTCAGTTAAGTATTAACAATTTAGTACATACAAAACTGAAGAACTCGGCACTACAGTCCAATAAGAGAAAACACTGTTTTGTTGTTTGTCTATTCAGTTTTAATAGTAAGATCTACGTGTTAGTTTATGATGGCAACTTTTGTTGTTGTTATAAAAGTTTTTACAATTTGTTAAACTCTATATTTTATCACACTTTAGGTCAGAATAAAGTAATTATATTTAAAAATACAAAAGAAATAAGAACTAAAATAATATGTTTAGATATTATTCTGTGAGAACCAAACAAATTCTTTGAATTTTAATATGAAACTGGTTTTTGTGTCAGCTTTTTGTTTTGTTGGGCTACAGTATAACGGGTAAAATATTTGAATATGTAAGTGAGTAAAGAGTTTTGTTTTTATAGAATTATATATGCGTATATGCGTTTGTTTAATTATGCACAGAGAGAGAGTTATGGGTAAGGTTTGTTTTTAATTTAATTCCAGGACAAGTACGTGTATGATAGCACCCACTTCGATGTAGCCAGTGCCAATCCTTTGTATATTCACTCCCTCCAGTCTCCCGAGAGCTTTGTGGGTTTTGGTAACAATACTAGTGAAGGAAGTATTAATAACTCACGAAACCATGAACGTGAAGCAAGGAAGTCAAAACGAACAAGTGAAACCTCTTAGAATTAAAATATAAATACTTTTCATAGACTTACGTTTACGTGATATATTTTATATGTGATAAAGATTGCTGATTAAAAGGCTTAGTTTATTACTTGTATATTTGTAAACGTTTAGAAAGATAAAGCTATTTAGTGTCAGTATTGTCTAATCAGCATTCAGGTTTTAACACAGCTTCTTAACTACAGACTTGGATGTTTTGGTATAGAGAAGTAATACTGGTTCGTATATGTATAAGATGTGTGTACTTTGTTTTCTGAAGTTTAAAAAAAACCACAAAATCCATAAATATATCGGTACATTTTACCTTGTGCGTGATTGTTTTATATTTATGAAGTACAATTTTCTTAATATGTTATTTGAAGAATTACATACTTTCAAGTGTATGTCATAATTGTCTCAAAAAAAAGAAAAGTTTCATTTCATCCAAACTGTTTGAAATAATTCTTATTGTTTTCATTCAAAAGAAAATAAATTTCTAAATATGTTTTTGCTCATGGTAAAATTAATTACATGTTTCACGGAATGGATATCATCACTGTAATTGGATTGTCAGGCCTACAAATTAATTAAAACAAATAGCTTTATTATTACTCAGTGAAGCATATTATTACATCACCAGAATGATGCCTTTTGGCTCATACAGTGTAAAAATCATTACTATATTTACATCAGATAGATCAAAACATAAATATTTTATAAACGTTCAAAATAAGACCTGTTTATTTTCCCAGTATGTTAACCAGCTTGTCCTTTACATCAGTAATATGGGTCACCTAAGAATGAAATAGATTTAAATATAAAGCAGATAGAAATGAAAAAAGGCATCGAATTGTCACTCGGTAAACATACATTCCTGCATAATTAAGCTGGATTCATTCATGGATCTGTTACTTCAACTGTTCATTTTTCCCCTTGAATGAAAAATTAGTATGTTTTGTCTTTATTTATACAAATATTTATATTTTTGCCTCATTTTAATTAGGTACAAGTTTCTAATTTTCTAGATAAATGTTTTCCTCTCCACACTTTATTTTGCACATTTCTCAATAGTTGTGTTCCTTCACACCAGAGTTTGCTGTTACAATGGCAGCATTTTTTTGTTATCCAGTGCCTTGGCAAAGTATGTTTTACCAAAGATAAGTATTATATTTTTGGCTCATTCTCAATTTGTTCCCGAAGAAAGAAGGGTATGTCTTTCAAATGAGTCAGAGGTATCGGGTTTTGCAGTTTGTGGTATATATATTTTTTTTCATTTTGCATGTTTAAAGTATTATATTTTCCTAAGAGATTAGCCATCTATAAACAGTGTGGGTATTTATATATATAGTAAAAATTGTGCCATTTTTGTATTGCAGCCAAACTAATGATCTCGTAATTGACAATTTAATTTAGATTTTTTTTTGCATATGTGTATTAAGTTAAATATTTACATAGATAATAAATTGTATGAGAAAAGAAAGAAACATGAATGTTTGGTAGTCAATTCTAGTATCATTTAACGGTTTTGTGCTCTGTAAATAATCTCTTGTTTCAAAACATAAACTTAACTGCAAGTGACAGGGAGAAGAAGATTGTCATTATAACAGTATGGGCCTTCTGGTACGGAAACTTTCAAAGAAGGCAGGTCTAAATCTTGTTCCTAAATACATAAAAGCAATTGACTAAAATTAACTCCTTACAATTTTATGTGATAAGCCTGAATTTAGATTTACTTTTAAACACATTGTATAAAAGAATTGAAGAGGTAATTTCATTTAGTTCCAAGACAGGATTGAATGTGATCTGGGAGTTCTTTAAGCCATTGGGAACTGAGTTATACTGATGCTAAGTTATGGTTATAGTATGTATAAGTTGCTTGGAGATAATTTTTACTTCAATAATATTGTGTATATAAAGTCATATCAAAAACTGTTGAATTTTCATATTGTTGGCCATATATTTTATCCATATTTGCCATTCACACTATGCATAGATTTAAATGCTTCCAACATAGTATATCTGTGCTTATTAGTGTATTGGATTCGTCTTTTATATTACAAATAATATTATACGAAAGTGCAAAGGTCATGAAGAAACAAGTTACAAAATTTGACAAATTGAATACTTAAAACAATGGAATGGATCTGTTCTTAGTCAACAAAAATTCTGATTAATTGGGTAAAATGCACTAGTTTTTGTTATTGTTACTTGAAGATGCATTATTAAACTACCTTTAGTAAAATATTTACAAAGATTGTGTGTATGCCTGATAATGAATACTGAGACGTATGTTTTGACTAAAGGTATTATTTATACACACACAAAGTGCTTGTATTGTCATGATTTAAGGAAGTTCAAAGTTATAAATTGTTCTTGGAAAGTTGCAATTTTGAAACAATGTTTAAATTATATTTTTAGGCTTACTATAAAGGTGATGGCTGTATGAAGTCTATATCTTTTTTAGGCTTAGTATAAAGGTGATGGCTGTACGAAATCTATATCTTTTTAGGCTTAGTATAAAGGTGATGGCTGTACGAAATCTATATCTTTTTTAGGCTTAGTATAAAGGTGATGGCTGTACGAAATCTATATCTTTTTAGGCTTAGTATAATTTTATTGATAGTTTATGCTAGTTCAATAATGGAACCATGGTTTTCACACCTGTGGTTTAAAAATATTCAGGTATTAGTTGTAAAACCAGAACTTTAAAAATTTTTTTTGGTTTTAAACTTTGAGAGGTAAGTTAAGAAAGAGAGGTTCAGCTTGTTTTTCATCCTTAATTTTCCAAATTCAGAAATTGAGTAAAGCAATCCAAAATACTTGGGTTTAAAGACTGTTAGGTTTGTTTTTAAAGTATCATTAGTTTATTCACCAAGTGTATTAATAAGCATTGACATTTTTATAAAAACTATTAAACTTGATAATACAATTATGTATTAAACAAGGCAGTGTATCAAGATTTGTACGTAGAAAAAAGTTTATGGCTGAGAAAGAAAGATTTTTAAAACACTTGAAAGTTAACAGATATAATAGAGGTTTTTATGGAACATAATTAGAGTATCTTACAAACTCAAAAATGTTAAACAGGATTCTTCAGAAATGCTATAAAAGAAACTTAAAAAAGCAGAATAATTGTGATAGCTTTAATGATATCATAGAACTTCAACCAATGCCGTGTTTGTGAAGTAACTTTATGATTGATATTTCTTTTTCAAATACTTATCTTAAAAAATAAAATAAATTTGAATAAAATGCAATTGTATCAGTGTTTGTCAGTATATATTTTTTACTTTGATTTCATGTATATGTGGTTATTGTATCTCAAGAGTCGTAATAAAAATTACAAATATTTGTAGTTTATAGTTCAGCATTTTGTACTCAGGGCATAAGGTGTAGAGTTTAAAATAAAACAAATACAATCACACTTCAGCCTAACAAAAAAAATTTGTAAGCAAAATTTTGGCCATAGGCCTACATCAGTTTATAGTTGGTAATTGCCTAATTTAGATCTATGACCAAATCGTTGCTAATGGATTCAGTTTTTGTCTTGTTTAAACAGTCATTAAATCACTTTTATTGAAAGAGCACTTGTAGACTTAAACCAGATAATAAATGTTACTCCACAGATAACCATTCAATTGTAATAGAGTATACATGCTTTTCAAATGTAAAAAAAAAATCCTTTAAAAATATTAAAAAGAAGTGTAGAAATATTTAAAATTTTTGCATTTAATTTTAGGAACCCAGGGATTTTCAGGTCAGGATACAACATAGTAGGGGTCTACACATTATATTAGGTCATCAAGAAATTAATGTTGCTTTTTTTTAGATGAAGAAACCTGAACAACTTGTATATCAAAAGAAAATATTTATTAAATGAAATAGTCTCCA